ATTAATGGCGCGATATACTCGTTTTTGGAATAAAATATGCAGCGGTTATAAAAAAAAAAAAAAACGAAAAGAAATCAATGCGGGAACGGCGGCGGCGGACGATTTATACCGAATTATCTCGATTAGGTAATATACGCGCGCTGCGCATAAAGCACGTCTACAGATATATCGCGCGGCCGTTTCGAGAGCGATTCAATAGTATACACGCGCACACATGAACGCATACGTATATATAATATTATAACGTTATGCCCGCGTGTCCGTACGCGTACAGGAGGTACCCACATATTTATTATATTTTTTGTTTTAATAAAAAACAAAAATGTCGGAAAAAAAAAAAATCCGACAGGATTTTACGATAAACGAGTTTTATATCGTACGGCCGTTGAACGTATTTATATTATATTTGACCGCAGCGGCGCAAGACGACGGCGTATTTTTATTGAAACGATAGGTACCCGTAAACTGCAGTACTCGTATATTATACAATAATAATATTATGTTTTCGCATATTATATTATTATGCGTATACGAGGAATATCGTACTGTGGTGAACAGAAATGCCTGTATTGTGTATACCTAATATAATCGAGTAAAAAAAAAAAAAAAATGAAAAAAACGAAAAGAATATACAGGACGATTCACTAAGCGTGCTCATCCTCCCTCCCCCTTCGAGTGTAGCGAATAATGTATCGGTTTTACAAAGCTGTTTATTTTTTATTTTTTTTTTTTTTTATACATGTATACAAAATTTCTACTAGAAATCTTGCTTCGAAGTTTCAAGTATAGTATCTTTTCTGAAAGAGAATTTTTCCTAAGGTGGTACTTTAGGGAGGTCATTTTGTTGATTTTCTCGATAAATGAGAAAAACATGGTAAATACCGGGAATATATTACATACAATATGAAATAAATATTATTAAAGAAAAATATATAATACATATTATGTAATTATTTTACCATAATGTGACATGTATATGTATGTATATGTATATATATTGTTGACAAAGTAACACTATTTTAACCGAACTCCGCTCAAAATTGCTTTTTGTTAGCAATGGTTAATCGTTGCGTACAGATATACATTAAATTTCCACTCTACCTTCTCAAATTCTCACCCACAACAGTGCGAAGTATGTCCGTCTTATTTTGCTTAAATTTTGCACAGTGTTATATTCAAATTCTGATTTTTAGAATTTTTAAGTGTAGTAAAGCCAATATTTTCAAGTGCTTGGATGTTTCATTTAAGGAGTATCCTGTGGGCTGTGGTGATATCCGTAACTTTGGTTTTTCAAATGAGAATTTATATAGTTGACCACTAATAAAACGCAGCCATACAAATGATAGTCTACTATTCTCCTCCTATACCTAAACTTAAAAGTGGAACATCTCGGGATCGACGGAAATCAAAAATGTGGACACCAAAATGTTGAAAGTAATACTATCCGTCTATTCGTAGAATTTTTAATATACCATACACCTATGTTTTTGTTTGAAAAACCAAAGACGATATCGCCACAGGATACTCCATAAATGTTTCGAAAAATCTAAGTATTCATGTATTCGAAAATATCGGCTTTAACTAAAAAATTAAAAAAAAATCAAAATTTGAATGTATGCAAAATTTAACAGAACAAAATTGGATGAGCGTACGCTTAGTGAATCATCCTGTATGTAATATTATAACGTATATAGGTATAGGTAAGTATACTTCTGTATAAATAAAATTAAAATAATTATAATATACAATAAAGTCTATCTCTAATAAATAATTCATACAAAATAATAATATATAATATGCTATTAATTCCCTTTGTCCGTGTATAGTTATAACGTCTATTATTTATTTCGCGATCGGCATTTTTATTTTCCGTTATACTGTCGATGTATTATAATAGGTAGCGTGCGAACGGTCGTTTTTTTTTTCATTTTGTTTTCGTATTGTCCGAGACGACTATTCCGAAAAACAATATCCGACTTGTTGCGTCGCAAGCGGACGAGATTAAGGCGCTCAGTGTCGTTTTGCCAGATCCGTGAAGTTAGCGGACGGACATTGAGCACTAATTTTCTTTCTAGTTCTTACAAATATTTAGTGCTGAATTAGTGCTGGCGAACAATAACCCGTTGGTATGTCCCATTCATTTATATATTATCCATGAGTTACGGTAAATAAATAATGATAATCACAAATTCCAAGATATCTTAGTCCGTTATGAGCGAAAATTGTCTTTTCTTATCAACAGTTTATCAAAGATACGTCTTCGGGAACCAAACTGTATGTTCTTATCATAACTTGTTGTATAACCAGCAGTGTTATTGGAACATTCACTAAAATAGTGAACGCGTTCACGTTCTTTGAAAAGATAACGCATTCATTACACGTTTAGTGTTGCCAAAAAATCCTTAGATATCAAAAATTATTAATTATTATTATGGACCTTCTAAGATCGTGTTCTGGAGTGATAACTGAGAAGAATGAGTGATAACTTATAAGAAAAAAAATCACTGCCGATAGCGAACGTAACTATATCTGCGCGAACTATGCGTTTTCGTCCTCAGTTTCTTCAAACTTATTACTTATTCGAAATTTGAAATAGAGTATGACCGTATGGGTATCATTGATAACAATATTTATTACTATGGCTTTTTTATCATATTAACGTTAAATGAACGGAAAAAGCCGTTCGCATTCGTGTAATAATCGAACGCGTTCATGGCTCGTTTACGTAAAATAGAACGCGTTCTTTCCAAAAACTGGTAACCACTGGTAACATTATCTTTAATCATGTTTTTTACAAAATAAAAACTGTATACCAACCAGTTGCACTGTTTTATGAATGAAAGATAATGCTAATGATTAATTTAAATTAAAATATTTAAATATTGATTTTAGAAAATAAATATAAGATTATAAAATCTTTAATCAATAATGAAATGGATATCATAATAATTATTGCTCTTTTTCCCGTTGTTTATTCAATGATTACTTGTTGATTTATAAAAACCATTCTGATTGGTTCCACCTTATATTATTTTACAGTAATAACTAATAATATATATTATATTTTAGGTTATACATTATAACCTAATAATAGCATAATATAATAGCATTTTATTCTAATGAAGATATAAAAAAAAAAAAAACACGAGTATTCTTGATATGGAAGAGAAATATATGTTATGACATGTCTGTCATTTCTATATAAGTGTCTCATTAAAAATTCATTAAAATCTAAATTCAATAGTTATAGACAAATTAAATATGATCAAATAAAAATCAATTAGTTTTAGTTGTTCATATTATTTATTATTATTTATTATTATTATTACATATTTATTTATTATTCATTATTGAATTATTTTTCTACATAATTAATAAATTCTTCTTATGAATGTTTATTATTGTGTGTAGCCTGGTCTTTAAAAATGCAATTAACTAGGTGACAACATATGTTCACTAGTTTAAAAAATACACTGCGTCTGCAATGTGGAAAACTTCGGAAAATTCAATACCTCGTTGGAAAAATGAGCACTAATTTTACACTCGGTATCATTCACAAGCACTTATTCAGCCCTAAATTTTGATACTACAGCGGATTTTGGTGCTTGTACTACGTCCGCTAACTTCACATAAAAGACAGAAGATAAGCCCCCGTGTAACTTTCTTTTGGTCAAAGCACTAATTTTAAAAATATTACCGTTCACCAGCACTAATTTAGAATTAAATTCTGATACTACAGTGGATTTTGGTGCTTGTATTGCGTTCGCTGTAGAAAATTTCGGAAAATCTAATATCTTGTTGGAAAATTTAGCAATCATTTTGAAACTGGGATCGTTCGCCCGCACTAATAAAGCACTAAATTTTGATATTAAAAGAGGTTTTAATGCTGGTGTTGCGTTCGCTGTTATAACTTACGGAAAAGCCAATATCGCGATGGAAATTAGAGCACTAATTTTGAAAATTGTACCGTTCGCCAGCACTAATTTAGCATTGAAATATTGGTGCTATGAAAGAAAATTAGTGCTCAATGTCCGTCTGCTAACTTCACGGATCTTATTTCTGCCCATTTACATAAATCGTAATCGAAAACTATTTTTACACATAATGTAAATTCACACTTATCATTATAATCGTACAAGTAACAATAGCATTATTATAACTAATTACTCATGTTCTTTAATAATAAATATCAATTATAATATTAAATATAATATAAAGATATAGTATGTAATATCGAATAGGTGTCGATAATATGACAATATTTATTTATTTATTTATTTATTAAGTACACATTTGTTAATCATTCATTATTTAATTATTTTTCTACATAATTTATAAATTCTTCTTATGGCAATTTATTATTGTGTGTCTCTCAATTTTTAAAAATACAATCATCTAGGCGACAACATATTTTCACACAAATTTGTATCGCCACCTAGTTCACTAGTATAAAAAATACATTGCGTCCGCAACGTCCACAATTTCGGAAAATTCAATATCTCATTAGAAAATTTAGCAATCATTTTGAAAATGGTACCGTTCACCAGCACTAATTCAGCACTAAATTTTGGTACTACATAGGATGTTGGTACTTGTACTACATCCGCTACATGAAGTTAGCGGACGGAAAATATAAGCCCTCGAGTAACATTTTTCTGGACAGAGCACTAATTTTGAAAACATAACCTTTCGCCATCACTAAATATTGGTACTAGAAAGAAAATTAGTGCTCAATGTTCGTCCGCTAACTTCACGGATCTAGTTTTGCCCACAAAAATACACTCTACGGAAATAGTGATACAGTTTAGTAGAATCAACCAAAATTAATTTGGTTTTTTTTTTTTAATTAACAGAGGGAAACATTCTACAGACCGCATTGAACTCCGCTTTTCAACATTTTATTCTCAAACACTATTATAACGAGTCTTTAAAAAAGGTGAATTTAAAGCCTTTCTTTACCATTTTTTCCCCTCGTTATTTGAAATTAGAAATAAAAAATATATGAGGTAGTAGATCAGTTGGAAAATCTTATCTTTAAGGGAGTAATTGAAATGTTAAAAATAATTTAAAATTTCAGACAATTTTAAAAACTGGCACCGGGTCCTTTAAGACGAACTATTATTAATTACACATTATTGAATGACGCACGATTCAAATGTCCTCAATTATATGTATACAATAATATTATACAATATATTATAATAATTACCGATTAAGTATTAAACGTTATACACTTATTGTAACGAAACACGTCATAATATTATTATGATGCATACTAGCTGGTATACATTTACAAAGCAATTTCGCAGAGACACCATAAAAATGTATAATGTAAATATACAATATCAATATAAAAATAATATTATTCTCCCGATAGACAAATCGTAGCGATAATAATTATTTTTCATTGTTTTTTTTTTCAAATTTATTAATCGGCTTTCTTTATTACATACACATTGTCATTTCGACTGTGATACAGTATAATATAGCGATCGCGGTTCGTTCGGAATTCGAAAGTATTCGCAGCAATTATATCGTTCGTTTGAAATATGTGTGCGGATATTTATTTCATTTTTTTTTCTTTTATCGGTTAAGCATCGAAAACAAGGTTACAACGATATTAAGATACGTACAATTTTTTTTTTTTGTATTATTTGTATTCGCTGTCGTTCCAATCGTTTCATACCGCAAAAGTTGTCCGGAATGTGTACACGCATACCTGTGTAGTTCCGAGTTCGTTTTCAGCGTTGAGCCCTGTATAGTTATCGATTTTTTTTTTTTTCATAATCAGATAAATATGACACGAAACTCTAAAAATCGATCTAGAGACAGACAAAAAGATAAAAATACATTTGTGGCCGACAAATAAATAAAACAAATAATAATTTAAATTTGTTCGCAATTTAATAATATTATTATTATGATATCATACACCGAGCAAAGCCGTTTGAAATGCAATCTTAAGCCGTTCGGCGCCCGGGCGCGTCTCCGGGGAAACGTCTCCTCTCACGGCCTTACCGGGGTTGATTCGGCGGGTCGATTCCCTCCGAACGTGTTGGTGTTTTCGATGTTAATAAATTCATATTAAAATTAAACATTTTACCCCCGCCGAACGAGATTCATCTTTAGTCCCGAATTGTTTCCGCGGGTACGCAATGCGTATATTATGCGTCGCCGTTCTGGAAATGTGTTCAATGAAACTTTGAACTTGAAATTTTTAGATTCTGAGCGAAGCGATTGGTATTACTACGGTGCGAATGCCACGCGGGGCTGTAAAATATCGAAAGAACGCGCGGTCCGGCGGGTACGAAGCGTTTGACGGGCTGCCGCGCGGCCGCCGTCCGCGCGTAACCCAACGGGGCGTTGAATTTCGCGCAGGTACCGCGGATCCGCACGGCGACGACGGCGTTCGCGCGCGGGATTCCGTTTACCGTAATGTTACTGCCCGCGGTCCTTCGCGCGTTGTGTCACGCCCGCGGTCCGCCGTTATTAATCGGTTACACCGTATTGTTTATTAATAATATTATTGCTTACATATTATTATTATTATTATCATTATGGTCCGAAGCACCGCGGCCGTGCGGCTAATCGGAACAGGTATAACGCGCGAGTAACGTAATTAATTTCACACCGACGACGACGGCGGCGTTGCGATATACCGACACGCCGCGTACGCCTATATTTTCCGTACGTGCACGCGGGATACCGTTGAGAGGATACCTGTCGGTCTATACGACGTCGGTTATTGTACAACAACGATATTTATATACAGGGCGATTGTTTCGCCCGTTGTGATCCGGCGAATTTCTCGGATGATTACGTAAGAAGAAGAAAAAACATAAAGGTAAGATAATGCGGTGGACGGGTGTACAGCCTCTGTTGTACGGAAAGTGTAGGAAGTTCGGCGGGTAGGATACGGACGGGAATTTATTTAATGCAACCGTGTATGCAACGATAGACCATTGCTAACGAAAAAACGATTCTGAACGGGGTTCACCTGATATAAGCAGTGACGCTTTGTCAACAATATATATATATATATATATATATGTCATTTTGTAATAAAATAATTAAATAGATATTATATATTTTCTTTTACTAATATTTGTTTAATATTATACCGATTTTCTTGTTTTTCCTACGTTTTTCCCGGTTTTCCCGTGCTTTTTCTCGGTTCTTCAAATTTGCCGGGAAAACACTTGGGAAAATCGAATATGACCTCTCTAATGTACCTTTCAGTAAAAGTGCTATTTTCGTTAATCGGATCAAAATTGCTGGTAGAAAAGTTGTCCATAGAAAAAAATCGTTTTTCACATTTGATGAGAAAATCGAAAAATTACCTCCTAATAGTACCACCCCGAGAAAATTTCCTTTCAGAAAAGGGTCTAAATTGCATACATCGAAGTAAGCTTTCTGGTAGAAAAGGTGTTAAAAAAAAAATCTTTGTAAAATCGGTTTCCCGTTTATTCCCCGATTATTATGGAAACCGCTTAGAAAATCTAAATGGCCCCCAACTATAAGTACCACCAGAACAAATATGCAACACTCGAATAACCTCAGCGAGATTTCCGGTAGAAGCGTTATTGACAGAAACAAAAAACATCATTGTAAAACCAACACATTGCTCTCTATACGCTCTGAATCTAAAATAACAATTTCGATTTCCGTTTTTCGATCGTTCGATTTATTATTATGCGGGATTGTTTACGCGTCATTTTAACGTTATCATTTCTGTACCTTAGAACCATTGGCGAAAATTCACTCGCTCATCCCGTGGACCGTATAATTACGTATATGTGTGAACTGTTTGTTCGTTTTAAATGTTTCTATAATTATTTTGAATTTTTTTTTTTCAATAAAGTAGTTAATAATATTATAACATACAACATGATATTACAACACGGCCAAATCCATAGATATTAAACTATTTTTATTATCTATGGTCGAACCGGGTCAAGGTTTCTAGTGTTATCATTTCGTTTTGGTGGTTCAACCGTTGTCTCTTATTATTGATTTCTACATAGCTACAAAATAAATGTATCAGGATCACTTATGTGGGGTTGCACTGTTTCATGTTTGTATAGATATAAAAGATGTATATATTAATAAAATTAGTGTAGCTGTAACGTTACTTTCTAAAGAATTTTTTATTTTAAAAGCGCGTGAAAATATATTTCACCCTCCCACCACCCCTCTGTAAGAAAGGCCTAAGTACGCCACTGCTCAAAACCGAACTGACGTAAGTCGCGTTATGCTGACTTTTCGTAAGAGTGCAATAACTGAAAAGTAGGTAACGTTGATTGGCTATTAAGCTTAAATTTTTAATTTGCGTGTAAACATAATATTTAACGGACTTCCATCATTAAGGAAAACAGATTTTACACGCCGAAAATGTATTAAACTGAAAATCGTTAATTTCGGACTTAACGTAGTCTGATTTTGATGCACAGTTTTTAGCCCCGTTCCCCTATACCTGTATATTATAAAACGGGGTACGGGACTTAAACGTTCGCTTACTTTTTTTTCGGTTCGACGAATAATACGTCAACGTTACAACGAGCTCTAATATGAAATTTAAAAGTGCTTATTTATTTTCGTTTGTTTATTTCGATAATTAAAACACTTAAAACAAAAAAAAAAAAAATTAATAGAATTTGGAATGGATATAACTTTATGGTAACATAATTGTTAGAGTTGGTGGGTTTGTTTTAGTTTTAGATTACCCTTGACCAGAATCTTGCTACTTCAATAGCATTAGGATTTGCTGACAGGAGATCTCTTTCGAACAGGAAGATGGACAGTTTTAGCAGTTCAGTAGGTCTTCCATGTCTTGTTTCAAACCTCTCTCGCATTTTGTGGAGGTGTCTTGAAGGATGCCTCATTTCTTCGAGTTGTTTTTAGATCTGCCCACTCTCATTTTAAGTCTATTAAAGGATCTCCAGGTTGGCCAGTCTAATTGGTACCCAGCTGGCGGCAGTTCCACTGGTTCGGACTCTAGTTTATTGTTTTCCTTGAAGAAAGAGAGTTTTCACCCTAAGGACTTATTAAATGGCTCTATTTTACGATTACCTATATAGAAGTCGTTGACAAAATCCTAAACTTTTCCCCCGTCCCATCTATGATTTTTGATTTACGATTTATTTTACGATTAATAAGTTTTTGTTTTTGTTGATTTTAAATGCTACAAGTCCCGAACTCTGTATACGGTGAAGCATCTTAAACGATCATCGATACTGCGGGCGATATTCAAACGGCTACACCCGCAAAAGTTCACTTATCCAAAGAGTTTTAACAGTGGAAATTTTGTCCGCGTAAGAGTTATAATAAATGGCGTTACCATCTTTTTACAACAGTCCCGTAATACCGTCTAAACTGTTTTAACTCGTAAACGGTAACTTCGATATTAGGTGTGCACACAATGCGCGCGATACAAATAAAATTGTTTATTAGAAAACTGTTCTCGCTGTTTGAATCTCTGCGCGTCGTAAATGACGACCGAAAAACGCCGGAAATCAATTTTACACGAGATCTTCGTAAATTGCATAGATTTCGGGCCATGGATATTGCGTGTTTTTCGACGATCGTTCGAAACGTAGCCAAGCCACGTAGAAATCCGATTCATGTACGACGCTACGAGAGTTTAAGGTTTTTACATCGCATGTGTAGCTCTTTTTTTTTCCCTTACCGAAATCGCGTGTTTTCGTTGAAAGTTTACGCCTCGCGGCTTTCCAACGCAACAACAATTCGGCAACGGCAACGCATAACGTCACCGCGGCAATATTATCGTGTAAGCACACAAATACTCCGTGATGGAATAATTTATGGCCGTCGCGCATTGCGGCGGTTAAAAACGTTGAACAGATATGCGAACTATACGTGTGGTAACACAGGGGCGGCGGGACGCGTGGACGTTGATCCTCGCCGGTCGGTCGGTTCGGTAAACGATATCCGCGGTGCGTGGAGGAACGTTAAACAAAAACGGCGGGCCCGCGGAGATTCGTTCCGGAACCGATTTACGGATATCGCGGCACATACATTCGCGGCTGCATCATCTGCCTACCCACACGTATAGACGACGACCGGCGGAGTGTGATCCGAGAACGGGAGAAAAAACAAAAAAAAATCGCCCCGCGCGCGGATATTGTCACGCGCGAAACCCACGGGGATAATATTCATAATATTTCGCGTGTTATATTTGCACGGGTCGACTGTGTGGGTGGAGGTGCAGGAGGCGCCTCCGAAGACAAATCACGCTGTGTATTCTTAACAACGCTCGCGCGCGCGCTCGTCGCGGCTAACGGGCCCGGACGGGGATGGTGTCCGGGCGTGCCGGCCCGCACTTGTTCTCCGGTCTCGCGTATTAACCGGACGACGGCGACGATGATAATAATAATGACGACGGAACGATAATAACGTGTAATTTTATATTACACATTACACGCGTGTCCCTTTCGCGCGCCGTAATAAATTATTACCCGGCGTATTGCGTATTATTATTGTTGTATTAAAGGTCGTTATAATATTGTTACCGTCGTTGCGGCACGGGCACACGGCGGATAAATAATACACAATAATACATTTATTTATCCCGGCTAATTGTTGTTATTATTATTATTGTTATTATTGCGGTACGGATCTCGGGCGGCCGATAATACCCACAACACTATTACGGCGGCGGGTGTACCGAAAAAATCTCATCGGTCTTCGCGGGTGCCGCCGCCGCGTCGACATCATGATGTTCGCCGTCGTCGTGATCGGCTCGCAGGCGGCCTGGGGCATTGCCTCGCCGCCGCCGCCGCCGCCGCCGCCACCGATGACGACGACCACCGCGACGCGCGCGCCCGCGAGCCGGTGACCGGCGTAGCCCCGAGGCGAACCTCCCCCACCTTCGCTCGTGCCGCGGTCTCGGTACTCTCCCACCATCGCTACTACTACGGCGACGACGACGAACGACTACTACTACTACTACTACTACTACTACTTGAATAATAATAATAATAATACACCGTACCAGAAGCACTCCGCCGCTCCGGGCTCTGCTCTCGTACTCCCGCCGCTTTTTCGCCCGTGGTCAGACGTTCGCGGCCGCCGCCCGTCACTGCGCCTCTAGCTAGTCGTGCCGTCCGGGGCCAGTAGTAGTGTATCGCCACTTTTCACCAGTAGTAGGCGGCAGTCGCGTGTCGCGCTCATTACTTTTCACAACGAATTATTACGCTTTTTTTACATTTTTTTTTTTTCTTCTTCCGTTCGCGCACAAATCGTTTCGTTGTTACTATCGGCGGACCCGGGTTTCCGAAAATCCGGATTTTTTTTTTCCGCTCGTCAACCTCGCGGCGAGGCGACCTTTGCCGGAAGACGAAATTATTATTATTATTTACATTTCGCGTTTTCTCCGCGAAAACCCCCGCGGCGCGTACACTCGCGAATGCGCTTTTAATTTTTTTTTTTTTTTTCCCGACCCCGCGAAATTTCCCGCGTACCATACGGACTTGCGGCGGTGACCGGCCCGCGAGAAACGCGTCGTTTGCCGATCGAAAACAATACCGTCCGTCCGAATATTAACGTAGTCATTACGTCGCCGGCCGCCGCCGGCGCCGCCGCCGCGTGTGGAGGTTACACATGCGGCGGGTTCGGCGGCCGCCTCAGAGCCCAACACCGGCGGGACACCGGCGATGTTCTCGTCGCCGCCGTTGACAACGACTCGGACGATCATTATCCGCATCACGGCCAACACCATCACTGCCGTCATCACCGACGGGCATCGCCATCACCGCCGACGACGATGACGCGTACGGCCGCCGCCGCCGCCGCCGCCACAGCCGTCGTCGCCGCCGCCGAGACGTCCGTGGCCACGACCGCCGACAACGGCAGCGACGTCACCGGCAAATGGGTATGGCGCCCGCGATGGTCGTCGCGGACGACCGCGAAAGACCGGCCGTCGCTGCGGGACCGCGACGACGAGCCCTTGTTATTGGACGGCCAGCAGCCCGGCCCGTCCGCCGATCTCGCTACGGACGACCGGCCATCGGGTCCGATCAAGCCGCGCAAAAACGCTCACCGCCGCCGGTCGGTCGCGTCGACGACGGCCGCGCCGTCATTCGCGCTGACGGCCGCCACTATGTTGTTGTTGTTACTGATAACCGCGATCCAGGTAACGTTTTTTTTTTTTTTTTTATTTTTCTTCTTCTCTGTATCGCCGTTTAATATTAATATAGGCGTTGCACTGTGTACGTGTTTAGTATTGCGGTAGGCCGAAGCGACGTTCATTATTACGATAATAATCATTATTATTACCCGTAATCATTTACAACGCTATTATAATCCGGTCGTTTGTATAAATACTTATTTCGCTCGCGGCTGCAATAATTATTACTAGCCGTATTATTATGTTAACAGCCGTCGCATACGAGTACGCGGCCGCGTTACAGATTACGTTCGTAGTGTAATGCGCCCGGCACGCGACACTCCGCGGCGTGCGGAATTATCGCGGACATTTTCGACGGCGCCGAAACGTTTCCACGCCCGGGGTCGCCTCGCCGCCCGCAGACGTGCACCCGTTGAAATCTCTTTGCCCCTTCGCGATCTTTGAATTAACTCGCCCGCCGCGAAACCGACCGGGCCGCGGGGACTCGCTCGACACGCCGGTTATTAATTGAATCGCCGGCCGATAAACCCGCCCGGGAGTCTGCGTGAAAATAATTCCCCGACGTTTTATCACCCGTACGCATCGTGTTTATTTCGCGGCTGTACGCAATATTCTATTCGTACGCGTATTGTACGTACCCCGCGGCCGCCGTGTGTGTGCTGCGCGTACTCGTGACGATAAGTTTTCTTGTTGTTTATTTATTTATTTATTTTTTTCTTCTAAACTTAGTTTTCGCTATAATCGCGTGTTTTATGCTGCGGCGTACATATAATAACAACAATGCTGCGGGTATGGAGAATACGAACGAAAAAGAAAAAAAAAAATAAATAAATAAATAAAATAACATTCGTACAGTAACAGTATAGGTACGTGTGCGCGCCGCCGCCGTGTAAATGACGTACGCGATATGTGCGCGGATTATGTGGCACGCATTTACACGCGCCGAGCATATTTATAAAAAAAAAAAAAAACGTTTTTTTTTTTTTCTCTCTCTCCTACAGTACTCTCGCCGGAGTGTCGCGTATAAATTTTATAAAACGATCGTCGCACGTACATTTGTTTTACGTATACGTGGTGTAAAGTGTAGACGTTATATTATTATTATTATTATTACGCGCGCGGCTGATGCATCTCGTTTTACCGGTGACCGGCGGGGGGGGGGGGGGGGGGCGGCGGCCGAGGGAGAGCGTCGCGGCATTTGAGGGGGTACCGGCGGGCACGAGCGGTCGGGCGCCTCGTCGTTTGACGTCGCGCGCGGGTTCCCACGATCGCGCGCGCGCCCGTAACGTTTCTACGGGCCACCGCGTAGACCGGCGGCGTCAGTTTAAATTACACTAAATTAATATTCGCGGTAAATTACACTCCAATTATCGCGTCGCGCTTTCGGACCGTTTCAGCACTCTATTATTGTTGTTATTATAGCCGGTGACGTCGGGAAGTTGTTTTTTTTTTTTTTTTTTT